CTGCTGAAGGTCAGGAGGCCAAACACGCCAACTCTGACCTTCCCTTCGCCCCCTGGTTGATGGTTTTTTCCTCTGAGCTCTCCAGAGCCTGCACCGCCCCGGACGTTGTTTCTGGGACGCTCAGGCCCTGCTGTGGCTTCCCCAGCCCTTGTGGTCCCCGGGGCGGACAGAGGTGGGACCCCAGCCGTCCACATGCTCACTCTCCCAACGTCGACTGGGCTACACGACATCTGGGCATTGGACCAAGAATATCTTCCTAAGAGCAGAGCCCCCCAGCAGCTTTTCTCATGAAAATCAGCCTGACTCAGGGTCCCTGTGAAGGATACGCTAACCCCAGGCCTGCAGCCTCTCAACACGGCGTCTGAAATACGTCCAGACAAGGAGGGGCACCGGCGGGACTCGCCTGTGAGCACTGTGCCCGAAGTCGGGGTGACGGGGTGCCATCTCCCAACCTATGCCGGCCTCCTGGCTTCCGCACGGAAGGACCAGCCAGAGGCCGGGTGCTCGCCAGCCGATGCCACGTGCACAAGAGTCCCCTCCACTCAGAGCCCGCTGAGCGCTGTGGCCTCAGTCCTGGGGGGCTGGAGGCCACCCCCCGAAAGGAGCTCAGCAGGGTCTGGGGAGAGAGGCGACAGGAAGCCTCCGCAGGCGCTGGATTCCAGCAGCACCAGGCACGGGGTGGGCCCGGCTGCTGCTCAGAGCGAGGCGCGCTGGCGACGGAGACTCAGGAGGTGTAGTCCTCGCGTCACGTTCGGGGGAAAGGTGGGTGACAGTCTGCGTCCAACCCAGGCCCAGTGGACAGACAGCAGCTGCCCCATCCTGGGGGTCTACTGGACGGTGTTCACAATGTCCGCCCAAGGGGGACAAGGGAGGGAGCGACAGGCCAGCGGGCCTGCAACGAATGACCACTGGGGCACGGAGGAGCCACTGCTTCTGCCACGTATCCACGGAGGCCCTGGGAGCCCAAGACAGTCCCCACCGCCCCCTCCCTGGGAAGTCGGGGGGAGAAAAGACTGACGAGAGGAAGGTAGGCGGAGCCCGTCCCCCAGGCCTGGCCGGGACGCCCCAGGGCCTCGGCTCCGCCACCCCATCTCAGCAGCCGGTGGCCAACTGAGCGCAGAGTGGGACAGCCGGCCCCTGGGCAGACCAGCCCCCTCGCCGGCGGTCGGGGGAACCAGCAGGGCCCAGGGCCTCAGGCTGACTGTGAGCCTGTGTCCCGGGAGACACGGCCGCGCCCGTCCTGCCGCGCGGCCTCCCCACGGCTCCCCGAGGCAGGCAGGCCCCCGGGGCGGGGGCGCACGCCCGCTCGGACAGGAGGGAGTGAAGCGGGCGGCTCTGTCCTCACAGGGCAGAGCGAGGCCGCACGGGGTGAAACCGAGCCCCTGGTCCCCGGCCGCCACACCCGGTCCCGCTGCGTGCAGCCCCGCTGCTCCGTCCTGGCTCCATGCCAGGACCCGCCAGCGGCCCCATCAGACACACTGACAGCTGACATCTCACACCCCCCTCAGGGCCTGGCCGAACACCACCTTCTCCATGAAGCCCTCCTAGACTGCCCCAGTCAGAGTCACTCTCTCACTGAGCGTTTTCAGCGCTTTACGCTGCGTTGCATCAGCTCTACGAGGCACGTTTTCCTACATTTTAGTCTCTGAAGTCAACACGTGTCACACAGTCTCCTAACTCTCACGAGCAACACGCCTCCTTTCTGAGACTGTGGTGCGCTCTGGAGGGGCTGGCGGCCAAGGGCTGACAGAATGCAGTGAGTGACCTGTGTCTCCCGGGGCCTCCCCAGGCAGAACACAGTGGGGCTGCGTGAAACGATGGGGACAGAGAGCGCCGACGCGTCACTGACGAGAGGCACTGGGTTATAGCCCAACCGGCAGGTCACCTCCCTCTTGAGGGACGCCCCCAACACACACCCATCTCTGCTCTGGGGGCCACCTCTCCCCTGAGACGGCCCGGGGACGCTCACCACCTGGGAGCAGCAGCACGGCCATACCTGTGACGTCCAGGTCCTCCTCCAGGCTCTGCATGTAGAGTGGGCACTTCTGCTGGATAAAGTACAGAAGCTCAACCGAGTTGGACATCCAGAAGAGGATGTGCTGCAGGTCCGGAACCAGGCCCGCCATGGTGAAGCTGGCCGTGGAGAGGGGCTCCTGACTGCCAAGACAGAGACCAAGAGTCACGCCGAACCCGCCGCTCTCTGTGCGTGAGAACAGTGGACGCTCAAAAAACCCACCACGATCTGTCAGCCTGCCAGCGTCAGGCTGGGAATTGGATTCAGATCCATAACCTGGTTAGAGGCACATCGCCTACAAACCCTCACAGGAAGGACCGCCCGAGGCCACGCTGGAAAAGGACTCTGGTAAATGGCTTCCTTTCACATCTTCTCTTTGAGAATCAGAGAACAGAGCGGCTGTGACCGTTCGGACAAGCAACAGGAATTGCCCCTCGTACTCAAGAGCAAGAGACAAGGGCGGGTGTCTTAAGTTAGGAATGTAACTAACAGAGGAAACAAGCAGAGGTGCAACTGCCTGGGGTGGTGATCGGACAAGGGCAGCTAAGTGCTGCCGCATCACGGCAGGAGGCGGAAGACGACAGCTAAGGCAGCGTCAGGAGGCAGGGATCACGGGCGTTACTGGAAGACTCAGAGATACCGTTAGAAAACCCACAAACGACGCCACTCACGGAGGCTGCCTGGCCGTGTCTGGGGCTGGGCGGCGGGCAGAGGAGTGAGGAAGGAGGGGCTCCCAGGTGGCAGCATGGAGCTAGGCCCTTCCCGGCCCTCCAATCCCATCCCACCCTGGGGTACGGCCGTCTGGGGTAGAGGGCCCGTGGCACTCCCTTTCCACGGGACACTGGGCACGTGGGGGCCGCCTGCCTCCCTCGATGGCAGCCTGCGAGGTCAGCTCCGCCCATCTCAAGCCCCTCCTCCCGCGTCTCCCGGGCCCCAGCCACCAGCATCCAGGACCTGGTGTCCGAGTCGCCCGCAATGTGACAGAAACACCGCGCCGTCCTCACCAGCCTCCTGGGGAGGCCGAGGGGCAGGTGCGGCGAGCAGAGCTCCGGGCGATTCCTCCCTCTAAATGCCAGTCGGTGTCTCGCCGGCACGGTTCCTCATCCTGGCAGCAAGCCTGTCGGTGGGCTGTGCATTCTGAGAGCATCCTCACACCGGAGGGTCCATGACCACACCTGCCAGGTGCTCTGACAGGTGAGCAGAGATCCACTGACAAGCAAATCAAACCACCCAGAGGTAACTGGGTCTGTCTGGGGGTGACGCTGGGCTGTGCCTCTTACTGGCGGATTCCGGGGGGCAAGGCAGGCGTCAGCGGGCATCGCGTGAGGACGGCGCTGTCCCTAGGTTCTTCATCCTGCCTGGAGGGCTTGCTGGCACCTGGAGCAGCTCAGGGACTCCTGGAGGGCTGTTGCAGTGACCGTCGTGCCGGGGGTCCTGGCGATCAGGCCCACGGGAAAAGCCGAGGGGCCATATCAGTGGCAGGGCTGGTGCGGAAGTGTCAGGAGGGCTGCAGCCTTGGCCTCCTCCGTGCCCCACGGGCCTCGGGCTCCCTTTCCCACGTTCTCCTTGTGCCTGCACTTTGCTGCTCTCTCTGACGTAACTTCACTTTTGTCCACAGAAAACATGACCCCTCTCCGTCCTGCTCCTGGGGAGGGACGGGCTTCAGACGCATCTCCTTGTTTTCACTGCTTATCTTGTTCCTCTCGTCCATTCTCCTCGCTGGTTGAATTACGCACACACACGTGCACGCACGAAGAGCTTTATGTCATCAAAAAAGGATGAATCTGCTCGTCAGAGCCTAGCTCCATTTTGTTTTCAACATTTATTGCCCTTCTCCATTCCGCCCAGAACTCAACGGGACAGACAGGCAGGCCTGCACGGAAGAACAATCCACCAGCTACTGCCAAGTGGAGCTTTGGTGTTGGGTCCCAGCGAGGTCAGCGCTGAGGACGCGCCACCGGCCAGCCCTGCCGTACCATGGGACACAAACAAGGCGCAGCGGCCTGGCCCACCCATCCAGGCAAGCACCGAGTAGGGACGACGATTTCAGGGACATGACACCAAAGGCACAGGCAATAAAAACACAAATAGACAAGTGGGGTTACGTCAAACGGAAAGGCTTCTGTGCAGCAAAGGAAACGATTAACAGAATAAGAAGGCAACCCACGGAATGGGAGAAAACATTTGCAAACCACATATCAGGTAAGGGGTGAATTTCCCAATACACATAAGGAATTCCTACAACTCAAAAGCAAACCGTTCGGACAAGCAACAGGAATTGCCCCTCGTACTCAAGAGCAAGAGACAAGGGCGGGTGTCTTAAGTTAGGAATGTAACTAACAGAGGAAACAAGCAGAGGTGCAACTGCCTGGGGTGGTGATCGGACAAGGGCAGCTAAGTGCTGCCGCATCACGGCAGGAGGCGGAAGACGACAGCTAAGGCAGCGTCAGGAGGCAGGGATCACGGGCGTTACTGGAAGACTCAGAGATACCGTTAGAAAACCCACAAACGACGCCACTCACGGAGGCTGCCTGGCCGTGTCTGGGGCTGGGCGGCGGGCAGAGGAGTGAGGAAGGAGGGGCTCCCAGGTGGCAGCATGGAGCTAGGCCCTTCCCGGCCCTCCAATCCCATCCCACCCTGGGGTACGGCCGTCTGGGGTAGAGGGCCCGTGGCACTCCCTTTCCACGGGACACTGGGCACGTGGGGGCCGCCTGCCTCCCTCGATGGCAGCCTGCGAGGTCAGCTCCGCCCATCTCAAGCCCCTCCTCCCGCGTCTCCCGGGCCCCAGCCACCAGCATCCAGGACCTGGTGTCCGAGTCGCCCGCAATGTGACAGAAACACCGCGCCGTCCTCACCAGCCTCCTGGGGAGGCCGAGGGGCAGGTGCGGCGAGCAGAGCTCCGGGCGATTCCTCCCTCTAAATGCCAGTCGGTGTCTCGCCGGCACGGTTCCTCATCCTGGCAGCAAGCCTGTCGGTGGGCTGTGCATTCTGAGAGCATCCTCACACCGGAGGGTCCATGACCACACCTGCCAGGTGCTCTGACAGGTGAGCAGAGATCCACTGACAAGCAAATCAAACCACCCAGAGGTAACTGGGTCTGTCTGGGGGTGACGCTGGGCTGTGCCTCTTACTGGCGGATTCCGGGGGGCAAGGCAGGCGTCAGCGGGCATCGCGTGAGGACGGCGCTGTCCCTAGGTTCTTCATCCTGCCTGGAGGGCTTGCTGGCACCTGGAGCAGCTCAGGGACTCCTGGAGGGCTGTTGCAGTGACCGTCGTGCCGGGGGTCCTGGCGATCAGGCCCACGGGAAAAGCCGAGGGGCCATATCAGTGGCAGGGCTGGTGCGGAAGTGTCAGGAGGGCTGCAGCCTTGGCCTCCTCCGTGCCCCACGGGCCTCGGGCTCCCTTTCCCACGTTCTCCTTGTGCCTGCACTTTGCTGCTCTCTCTGACGTAACTTCACTTTTGTCCACAGAAAACATGACCCCTCTCCGTCCTGCTCCTGGGGAGGGACGGGCTTCAGACGCATCTCCTTGTTTTCACTGCTTATCTTGTTCCTCTCGTCCATTCTCCTCGCTGGTTGAATTACGCACACACACGTGCACGCACGAAGAGCTTTATGTCATCAAAAAAGGATGAATCTGCTCGTCAGAGCCTAGCTCCATTTTGTTTTCAACATTTATTGCCCTTCTCCATTCCGCCCAGAACTCAACGGGACAGACAGGCAGGCCTGCACGGAAGAACAATCCACCAGCTACTGCCAAGTGGAGCTTTGGTGTTGGGTCCCAGCGAGGTCAGCGCTGAGGACGCGCCACCGGCCAGCCCTGCCGTACCATGGGACACAAACAAGGCGCAGCGGCCTGGCCCACCCATCCAGGCAAGCACCGAGTAGGGACGACGATTTCAGGGACATGACACCAAAGGCACAGGCAATAAAAACACAAATAGACAAGTGGGGTTACGTCAAACGGAAAGGCTTCTGTGCAGCAAAGGAAACGATTAACAGAATAAGAAGGCAACCCACGGAATGGGAGAAAACATTTGCAAACCACATATCAGGTAAGGGGTGAATTTCCCAATACACATAAGGAATTCCTACAACTCAAAAGCAAAAAAAAAAAAAAAAAGAAAAGAAAACAAATCACTAATAACCCTATTAAAAATGCGCTGAAGACTTGAATAGATATGTCTCCAAAGTAGACAGCCAGCCAGAGGAGCATGAAAAAGTTCTCAACATACCTAATCATCAGGGAAATGCAAGTCAAAACCACAAGAAGCTGCCACCCCACACCTGTCAGAATGGCTTCATGAAAAAGACCAGAGTCAACAAGTATTGGTGACGATGTGGAAAATCAGAACCCTTGTGCACTGCTGGCATGAATGCAAACTGGTGTAGCCACCGTGTAAAACAGTACGGAGGTTCCTCAAGAAACTAAAAGTAGAACTACCTTATGATCCAGCAATTCCACTTCTTGGTGTTTATCCAAAAGAACTGAAATCAGGATCTCCAAGAAATATTAGCACCCTGGTCCGGTGTTCACTGCAGCACTACTCATAATATCCGAGACGTGGAACCAAACGCAAGGTCTACTGACGGATGAATGAATAAAGAAAATCTGGTTTATAACACAATGGAACATTATCCAGCATTAAATAAAGAAGGAGGGCTTCCCTGGTGGCACAGTGGTTGAGAGTCCGCCTGCCGACGCAGGGGACACGGGTTCGTGCCCTGGTCCGGGAGGATCCCACATGCCACGCAGCGGCTGGGCCCGTGAGCCGTGGCCGCTGAGCCTGCGCGTCCGGAGCCTGTGCTCCGCGACGGGAGAGGCCACAACAGGGAGAGGCCCGCGTACCGCAAAAAAAATAAAGAAGGAAATCCTGCAATATGCAACAACACGGATGAACCCTGAAGACATGATGCTCAGTGAAATAAGCCAATCACAGAAGGACACGTACTGTGTGACTCCACTTACATGAGGGACCCAAAATAGTCAAACTCACAGAATCAGCGAGCAGAGTGGCGGTTACCAGTGGGTGGGGGCAGGAGGGCAGACAAGAGAAACTGCTCATCGATGAGCGTAAAGTCTCAATTACGCAGGATGAGCGAGTTCTAGAGACCTGCTGTACGACAGCGCACCTACAGTTAACGATACTATACTGCACGCTTAAAAGTTTAAGAGCGTAGCTTTCACGTTAAATGTTCTCACCACAGTAAAATAAATAAAAATAAACCAAATCAAATCAATGACGTTCTGATATAAATTTTTAAAAAAATCATCAGGGGGACTTCCCTGGTGGTCCAGCAGTTAAGACTCTGCGCTTCCACGGCAGGGGGCGCAGATTCGATCACTGGTCGGGGAACTGATCCCTCATGACGCATCATGCGGCCAAAAAATTTTTTTAAATAAAAATAAAGATCATCTGGGACACCTGCACAGGAGAAATTATCGCTCTTCTATATTAATTATTATTAATAATATATTATTATGATTACTGGAAATAAAATTTAAAACATTTTTGTTAGTAAATATAAAAATGAAAAAATTTCAAAAAACTTTCTAAACAATTCATGAGTCAAAGAAGAAATTAAAACAGAAATTATGCAAGGATAAGGAAATTCAAAGAAAAAGTAAACAGAAACAACAAAATTGGTTCTTTTAAACAGATGATAACAGACAAATGCCTGGGAAGATAAATCAAAGGGGGTGGGGAGAGAAAAAAATAGGAACACGACAGGAATGAAGGCGATATCACTACAAATATATTAGAGATGAAAGAAGTCCTACGAGAATATAACGAACAATTTTATTCCAATAACTTTGAAAACACAGGCAATAGATAATTTCCTAGGAAAGCAAAACTTACCAAAATCAACACAAGAAGAAACAGAAAACTAAATAAACCATAAACATTAAAGAAATGGAATCAGCAAACACAGGCACCGCCCAGACGCTTTTCTGGGCTGCTTCCAGGAAACCTCCACAGCCCAGAGTCCTCACCCTCAGATAAATCGACTCAGAGAACTGCAAGCAGAGAAGGCTGCCCAATTCATTTCTGAGAACCTTGCCATTAAAATCAGACAAGGACAATACAAAACCATAAATGAATTCACAGGCCAATTTTACTTATGAATTCAGATGGGAAAATCCTAAAGTATCAACAAACCGCATCTCGCCTTGCTAATAACAAAATCAATAGTTATGAGAGGTTCGATCCTGGGAATCCAATCACAGTTCAGAAAACCTCCTGATGTAGGACCCACACTCAGATTCAAGGGGAAAATGTGTGACGATCACAGACACGGAAAAAGCGTTCAGGAAGAGTTAACGGCCACTTACAATTTTAAAAGAAGCACACAAGAAAGACCTGAAGCAAATGGGGCAAAATGTGGATCATGTTAAATTCAGGTGTGGGTTCAGGGGTAACTGATACACTCTGTACTCTTCTGTATTTTGAAAGTGATGCATAATTTAAAAAAAAAAAAAAAAAAAAGCATTCGCTGGGATGGAGCCAGGGATGTTTTTAGGCCCTAATGACACAAGGAGCTGCTGAAGGAGGGGCTGTTTCCTCCTGTCTAAGGGCCAAGGCCCCAGCAGACAGGCACCGGTGGGAGGATGGAAAAATTAAAAAAAAAAAAAAAAAAAAGCATTCGCTGGGATGGAGCCAGGGATGTTTTTAGGCCCTAATGACACAAGGAGCTGCTGAAGGAGGGGCTGTTTCCTCCTGTCTAAGGGCCAAGGCCCCAGCAGACAGGCACCGGTGGGAGGATGCGCTCGGGGGTGAGGGCCGGGTGCTCCTGAGGACTCCTCCCTCCAGGCCCGCCTCACCCTGGGGATGGGGCAGAGCCGGGGGTGAGGCCGCCACACCCGTCACGGGGTGAGGCTGGCTCCCTCACGCGGACCTCCCCTGCTGTGCGGAACCTGAAGGATGCAGGGCTCCTCCGAGCTGCCTGGGCCTCAGCTGGTCCCTCCGTGCTGGACCAGCTGTAGGCTGTCTTCCGTGGGGCCCCCCGCCCTGGGCCTGGCCTGTAACAGCACCCCGCTACCCACTACCCTCGAGCAGGGCGGCAGCCAACAGAGCACATCCGTGAGCGACAGGGATTCTGCTCCACTCAGCCCAGCGGGAGCTTCGCTGCTCAGACCCCGGCTTCCCATCTCTGAGCCTCTAGTTCCCGGCTTCGGAGGGAGGGGATAATGATGCTTCCTCCCGACTCCCTTACAGCAGAGGTCCCCAGTGCCCCCTGCAGCCCCCGGGCCGCGCAGCAGCAGGTGGGCGGCAGGCGAGTGAGCGAAGCCTCATCTGACGCTCCCCGTCGCTCTCATCGCCCCCTGGACCATCTCCCACTCCCCGGCCCGTCCGTGGAGAGACTGTCTGCCACGAAGCCAGTCCCTGGTGCCGAAAAGATTGGGGACCACTGGCTTACAGGACCACGGGCGGGCGGCGCCCCACAAGCACGGACGGCAACCACGTGCTTCATGAACAGAGCGCCTTCACGTGTCATCCTCGCATAAGCGGAAGTGAGGCAAACCCCGTGGACCGCAGCATGACCTACGGCCCCGCGAGCCCTTCGTCCACGACGGGCAGTGGCCACAGGCGACCTCTGCTCGGGCTGTCACACGTGCGTGTTCCTTCAAGGGGACGGAAAGCTGCGGCCTTCACGCCTTCACCGTGGCTAGGGGTCCGCAGCACAAACACAGGTGCCGCCGCCACCTTCTGCGAAGGCGGTTCTCGCTGGTGTCCGCTCAAGGGCAGGCGGGGGGTGTCCCAGGATACGCACGCCTTTACCGTTACTGCCAAATGATTTCCTCAGGTCCCCCCAGCGGCGCGTAAAAGTAGGACCCATACGTCCTATGAAAACCGACGCTGGACAGCGGAGACCCCCTGCCCCACCTTTACACCGGGAGGCGTCCACTTCCCCCAAAAAGCAGGTTCGCATTAACACAGCAATTACGGGAGGGCGAGGAGAAGGCTTCCCGGAGGGTCGTGCCCACTCGTCTCACAGACGCTCTGGAGAGACCTCCCCGACACAGAGCTAGCTGCCCAGGGTGGTGACTACAGACATGGAAACAGCCACCCTGAGACAGACAGACACAGAGCTGAGCCCAGAGGTTGCAGGGTGAGGGGTGCTGGGACTTGGCTCCTGGGGAACCAGTGGCCTGCTGGGCAGGTATGAAGACGGGGCCGTACTTACAGGTGCGCCTGCTTCTCGGCGAGTTCTTTGGTTTTCTCCTACAATTATAAAGGGAAAAAAAGCAAAGATGAGACAAGCAGGACAGCACAGGCAATGTGCAGTGAGGACACCACTGACACAGGCTCTCATCTACGTGAAACATGGCATCACTGCTCCGGGCATCCCGTACCGGGCAATTTGCTCCAAGCTACACTGGGAAGACTGTTTTCCACGTGATCTGATCTCCTGGCACTCCGTTACTGCGTACGAACCACGCGTTTCCCACAAGAGCACCGTTTCACAGCCATCTCTCTTACGTAACAGCCGGCCACTTAGGGAGCAGTAAAGATGGGTCAAACGTATGACAAATGTCAGAATGAACGTTCTAGCAACACTCTTACGGTCAAGCTTCATAGACGCACTTTTAAAAGTCAGCCCCAGTAACGTGGAGCAGATGCACGTGGGCCTGAGTACACACAAGTATGTTTAAGCGTCCCCATAGGGACTCAGGTCTAGCCAACATTTTCTGTCCCCTTTAATCAAGAACTCATTCTTGCTTTAGTGCCGTTATCCGGCTAAGCGTGGTCCTAACCGCGACTCCCTCACACGTTGTCTTAGAGGCTCACATCGGCCTGAGTTGACGAGACATGTGAGCACAGGGGGATGCAGAGGAGGCTGCTGGTGCCCAAGAAACAGACAGACAAATGAAAGTCAAGGCTCTAGACAGACTTCTCACACCCCAGAGGGGAAGCCGTACGGGGGACGCCCGGGCCCGGGACCTGGGGTGAGGGGGTCCCACCTCCACAAGCCCGTTTCCAAGCCTGCACGGGGGCAGGGGAGGGGGTTCGCAGGGCTGATCCCATGTGCATGGCGGGGGAGCCAGGGACGACACTCGGGCTCGGGGGGATCCAGTTTTCTGCCCGGAGTCACCAGCACCCTCCTTTGCCCCGGCGTTCTCAGCTGTGACGTGGGACACTGCACCTACGCCGTCAGGGTGGTTGTGGAAATTAAGTCCAACAGCATCTGATTACTAGTAAGTGTCTGGCACAGAGCAGACTCGGAAAAGGCCGGTGATTCGTGTGAAATTCAGAGCTTCTAAGCGTCAGGCCGCTCGGTCCACACTCTGCACGGACTTCAGCTGCACAGCGGGGAAGCGACCACACACACCAAATGCCACTCGGGACGCTGGGGGACGCGGCTCAGATGCGCACGATGCACACAGATCGCTTGCACAAACCTTTGGATGTGGCAAGCCAGGATGGCTTTTGCTTTTAAAAAGTTTCAAACGTTTTAAATGCGGATATTAATCTGAGGAATCTATCCAGTGTCTACACGGCCAACTGCTTTCCTTGTCCCACGTCTGCCTCAGGGTGAGCACGGCCGAGACTAAGGGGGTCTCTCTGAAGGACTGCGTGTAACTACCAGCCATCCTTTGGGTCCCCAGGGAGTCCAGCCCCTGGAGGGGCAGGAGAGGATGGGGGGCTGCCGGCCTGCTCTGGCCCCAGGGGACGTCTGGCAGTGCCTGAAGCCGCTTCCGTGAGGGGGGAGGGGAGGGGTGTTGCCAGCCGCTGGGGGGGAGGGGGAAGCCAGGGATGCTGCCCAACGTCCTGCGGTGCAGGGGTCAGCCCCCCAGCAAGGAATTCTGCCTGGACATGCGTGGTGCCACGGTCCAGAGACCATCCTGGGCAAAGTTTCAATGGACAGCATCGACCGGTCCTGTGCCCCCCCCTCCCCCCAGCCCAACAAGGGCTCTGCAGTGGGGTGTTGGCAGGGGCTCGACCTGCTCCCGGCAGAAAGCGCGGGGCTCCCAGGCCGCCTGGGCACCGGCAGGGCTGGGCCGTGGGGAAGGACACAGGACCGGAGCTCACGAAGCCGAACCCTCGGCGGATACCCCAGCTCCCCCGGTGGCCCTGCCTATCCTGCTCGCCCGACAGCGACGAGGGCTGGTCTCGTCTCGGTCAAGGGGGAGCTCACGCCCTCCACCCAAGCGGCCGCAGCTCCCACCCGCTCCTCTCCTGGCCGAGGCCGCCGGCAGCGAACCGCCCCCCGCCCCGCCACTGACCCAGACCGTCTCTCGGATCATCTTGGCCATCTTGAGCAGGAGCTGCCCAAAGGAGCCCGGCTCGAGGCGGGTGGCCGAGTGCTGAATGCAGAGGCAGAGGAGGAAGGCGGGGGTCAGCTTGTGGTCGTTGCCGCCCGGCTCGACCAGCGTCATGATCCGCTGCAGCAGCGCGTCCTCCACGTCGGGCTCGAACTCCAGGTGCAGCGGTCGTGCCCGGGGTGGGCCGGACCTCGCGGAGACCGAGGCGCCCCGGGCCCGGAGCGGGGCGCCGCACATCCTACAGCTCTCCGGCATGGCCCGGAGGCGGGCCAGGGCCTGGGCGGGCAGGGGCTGGGCCTGCGCTGGGTCCTTCAGCAGCAGCAGGTAGTACAGGCCCAGGGAGAGCAGGTCCCCATGGCGCAGCACCACGGCGCGGCCCCCCACCTCCGAGAAGTTGACCGAGACGGACGCCCCGGGGATGGGCTCCAGGACCAGCTGTGCCCCTGCCTGCGCTCGGCCCAACGACCGGCGCCTGCGGATGGTGCAGTGCAGGGGCAGGATGTCGGGGGCCGAGAGGCTGATGCTGGGCTTGCTGGAGGGGGTCCTCTGGCCCACCGTGTGCCGCTCCCGGTTGAGCACGTAGACCAGGCTGTCCTGAAACGCAGACACCAGACCTCAGGGGCAGGACGCCACTCAGGCAGTTCCATCCCTGGTACCTAAGCCGCCCTGGGCAGCACCCCCCCGCCTCCCCGGAGCCCTTCCTGACCCACTGCCTGCCCACACTGGGCGCCCACCCCATCTCCCAGAGCAGCCTCGGTGGCACACCAGACGCCCGAGGTGGGGTGGCGGGGCGGCCCCAGCTTCGAGACGTGAGAGGCCAGCCAAGGGCAGACCTGAACGTAGACACTGGTCTACAGACACGCCAGGCCCGCCCGCTCTGCCAGGTGACAGCGACAAGCTGGGGAAGCGCCCCTCCTTTGTGCGCCGGCTCCGGGAGGGAAGACGCCTCCCAGGACCTGAGCTGCAGAGCCCTGACAAGGTCACACAGTGTGCGGGGAAGGTGGAGCAGGAAAGGGAGCGGGGGACACGCGGGTGAGCGAGAGGCCGGGAGGAACAGCAGACCTCCCCGGGGCGGCAGCACGGGCAGGGTCGGCGGGGTCGCCAAGGGCGAGACCCTTCAGGCCAAGAGGCCTCCGACAAAAGTGGTATAAAATGCGGGCGCGGGGCGGGGGCCTGCGGGACTCCTCAGAGAAAGCCGCCCCGCACACGCTCGAGGCCGCGGGAGGCCTGCGCCCCAGCCCACGGGGGCCATTCCCCAGGGGCCCGCCAGGCCGGGCAGTAAGGGGGCTCAGTACCAGGTAAGACCCATGCTGGGATCAGTGAGTGATGAGCTGGCGGGACCCCCTCCCAAGGCCCTGCTGCCGCCCACTGCAGCCCGGAAGAAAGAATGTTCTGGAAGCAGAGGACGGGGAAGCCGCCACCCTCCTCCAGCGTCTAGGGCGGACCCAGTGGGGTGCTCCCCCCCAGCCCATTTCTCCGGCCCCCGAGTCCCCCGCTGATGTGGTCAGTAAGGAGCAGAGGGGCGGGGGCGCCAAGCCGAGAGCCTCCCACACGCCCGGTGCGCCGCCGCCCCACCCGCCGCCTCGGGCCCAGTACAGGGGCGCTCACGTGCTGCTGGCTGTAGCCCTGCAGGAGCAGCAGGTGGGGCGACTCGTAGAGGGAGCAGCGCATGGCGTCCTGGCCGGGCTCCTCAGGGCCCCGGGCAGCAGACGGCGGGGCGACGGCCGAGCCCAGGCTGGTCTCGCTGACCGTGCGGCGCAGCCGGGGTGGAGGGGGGCTCCAGGCTCCCCCCGCGGCCGGGGCTGGGGTCCCCTTGGCGCGGCTCCGCTGCAGTCTCCGGGCCTGGGCGTTTATCCCTGCGGCAGAAGCAGCGTGGGGTGAACACATGGCTCGAGGCCGCTCCTAACACGGGTCGCGGCTCCGTCAAGCAGGCCTGCAGGCGGCCGCGGGACTCTGCCCACGGGCCGCATCCTCGGAAGGCCATGGCTCCTCCGGGGCTCCCCCGAGACCAGCCAGCACCACGGCCTCCCCACGGGATGCCAAGCCCACCACAGCCTCGACCCCCGCAGAGTCAGCGTGCTGGGGGCTCCGTGGGTACCACGCCGACCCCAAAACCTGCCCATCCCCTGTCCCGTCCTGGCAGCCCGTGTGTGCGTGCATGAGTTGATGAGGTGACAAGCGTTCATCATCCCCCGTTTACAAGGAGGAAGCAGTCGACTCGCCACGTCGCTCCAGCCCACAGCGCCGGCCGGTCTCCATCCAGAGCACGGCCGCTCCGTCCCGGGGCACCTCCAACACGGCCAGGCACACGCATGCCCACCAGCACACACGCACACCCGTGCACACCCCACGAAAGCCTTACCCTTCTACACGCAGGAAGCGCTCTTTTAAACTAACGCCGCATGAAAGCTGAGAAGCCACACGGAACTCAAGAGGGCCAGTCTCCTGTCGCCATCGCCTTCCCCGGCTGACCCAGGCCTTCCTCTCTGAGCCCCCTGCCGAGGGCCCTCCACACAGCCTCTGTCTGCAGCATCCCTTCCCATAACCGTTCCAAACAAAACCAGACAAAGCCAGGGGAAGAGAGGTGGGCAAGTGGGGGCCGAGGGCGCCCGGGAAGACCGACCTGCCTTCCAGAAGGAGAAGGGAGCCCGGTCCCCGGCAGCCCACAGGGAGCCGGGGCTGCAGGAGGGAGGCCGCTCAGCCGCAGTGCGAGCCGTTTGCCGGGCGCCCGCTGCTCCCCGCCTGCTGCAGAGCCGGGCCAGCGACCGTCAGGCAGGGCAGCGGGGCGGGGGGGAAGGGGTGGGGGGAAGAGGGGCGGGTCAGGGGAAGGAGGAGGCCGAGGGCAGGAGGCAGGGATGGAGGAACAGAGGTGGGGGCAGGCGGTGAGGCAGCCCCCAGCCTCACCAGTCCCACCCCCCGCTCTCACGGCTGGGGCATCACGGCACAAGCCGCTCTAGCCCAGGCTTTTCCTCCCCCTAGGACGGGGCTGCAGGAGAGGACGCACCTCAGAACCACCTTGCACAAGTGCTGGGGCTCCCGGGCAGCAGCAGAGCCCAGAAGGTCACCCTTTCCTCTTCGATTCCCGTGGGCCCCCAGAGGCCCTGGACGAGGCCCGAGCGACCAGGGCCAGCATCCCTGGGACTGCAGCAGACGGGCGTGGGCGCACACTCTCGGCCGACTGGACACCACTCCTCCGGCTGGGGTCCCGCGTCCCCTGGCAGATGACCCCCTCCCAGGCTAAAGCAGGGGCTCTCACCCCGCCGTCGCTCAGGGCCGCCTGGGGAGTTTGGAACAGCGTCCAGGGCTCATCCACGGGCCCTCAGGGTTGAAGGGCCAGGGCTGTCGGGAGGGAGGTGGCGGCAGCTCAAGGCCGGGGCCGCTGGACCGCCACCGCCAGCACGGCCAGCGTGTAGAGCGACCCACAAGGTCCAGCCGACAGATCCGTGTACACCCTGCGGGCAGCACAGCCACGAGGACCCTCACACGTGTGGACGCCTGAGCAAGGAAGACCCCTGAACCCCACGTAACCCTCCACAGGGACTATTCTCACACAGGGGAGAGATGCTTCAGGGAAAGCTGGGCCCAGCCTGTACCCAGTGGCGGGTGGAAAGGCAGATGGGGAGCAATGGGTAGGGTGTGGGACCTCTGTTTACATGCTGAAAAGAGCACACGAAAGCCCACAGCACACTGCTCATGGTGTGCATATATGTGCACGTAAAGCTGTTTTTAAAAACGGATAGAAAAGACACACAGTAAATTCAAGAAATGGCCGTCTTACAGGTGGGGCTCTGAGCCCGGGGAGGCACATTACATAACGTATTGGAGCTGCTAGAACACATGTGATATCATATACTGCACGTGACAGGACATACTTTATGGATAACTCTGTGTGATGTGTTACTCATTTCATTTTTTAAAACTCTAAATAAATGTGATTAAAAATGTTTATGTCAACTCTGGAAGGCAAGTACTCAGATGTAAAGTAAAAATCATAAACACTCTGAGGTCCTCACACGTGTGTAGGACTCTGCGGCTGCCCTGAGGTGGGTGGGGGGCCTGGGCAGGGGGCGCCTGATGAGGTCGCTGGAGACCAACCGTTCGGCCAGTCGTCCTGAGGAGGGTCGTGGCTTCGGGTGCCATCCCGCGTCTGATCTCACTTCGGCTTCGCCACCACAATCCACGCATCCCAACACCGCGCAAACCCAGGGCGTGTCTGCCTGGCTCTGAGCAGAACCTCCTCCCTAACCCTGGGATGGAGGCTGGGCGGCGACAGGAGGGACGTGTGGGCAGTGCCACACACAAGCCAGCGGACTGCGGGGCGCGGGCTGGGGTTCTCAGCCTGGTCCAGGCAGACCCGCAGCCTCGTGGTCCAGGCTCTGCGCACTGGATCTGGGGCGTCACGGTGGAGCCCGCGTCCAGAGCAAGGTCGTCCCCACGGCCTCTCCACCGCCACCATGATGGGGATTCGGCAACAGACACACCACGGAGAAGCCCTGGCCCACAGGGGAGCGGCGCTGAAGGGATAACGTGACGAGAGTGGCCAGGCCTTGTACGGCGGTGATTTCACATACGCCAAGTCACTCATCTTAGAGGAAAACGCCCAACCTTGCCACCGGGTGAAAAAGACACTCCATTTCTGGATCGCGCCTCCCCGTGAGCTGGGTTGGACGGCCCAGCCCTGGACATTTCCTGCTATGCTAGGGGTGACCGAGTTAGCGAGGTCAGAGGTTTATCTGGTCCTGCAGGTCTGAGGGACACCCGGGAATCTGCATTTTTTGTAAAAGCTCCCCAGAAGGTTCTGGAACTCAGCTAGGATAGGAACCGCTGCCAGGGCACTCCCCTCCCCCAGTGCCCTGTCTACAGAAAGCCCACGGGGGAGAAAGGGAAACCCACGGAGCGCTCGGAAAACATACTCGAGCACCTACCGTTTTTACTTGCGTTTTGGATTTCTAACTCTTTTCTCTAGATTAAAACGTTTGTCAGTTCCCAGGAGGGTGGCAGATACGAGGCTCTCCTCTTCCCTCTTATATAAGGCACACCTCATCTTAATGCGCTTCACGGATACGGTGTGCTACAAACTGAGGGTCTGCGGCAACCCTGGCTGAGCAAGTCTATTGGCACATTTCTTCCAACGGCATTTGCTCACTTTGTGTCTCTGCGTCACACTGTTGTAATTCTCGCAATATTTCAGACTTTGTCGTTATTATTTTATTTGTTATGCTGATCTGTGATCAATGATCTTTGATGTTACTCTTGTAATTGTTTTGACATTTTTAGTAATAAAGTATTTATTTATTTATTTATTTATTTTTAAACATCTTTATTGGAAAAATATGGACCGCTTCACGAATTTGCGTGTCATCCTTGCGCAGGGGCCATGCTAATCTTCTCTGTATCGTTCCAATTTTAGTATATGTGCTGCTGAAGCGAGCACAGTAATATTTTAAAATTAAGGTATGTACATTGTTTTTCTAGACATAATGCTGCCGCACCCTTAACAGACCTCAGTAGAGCGTAAACATCACTTTTCTAGGCACTGGGAAACCAAAAAGTTCCTGTGACTCTCTTTACCGACGTGCCGCCTTCATTGCAGTGGTCTGGGCCTGAACCCGCCACATCTCAGAGCTGGGCCTGTATCTGTTCCCTGGTGAAAAGGCAGAAACACACCCAGCAGAGGAATAAAAAAGGAGGGGTCTGGGTAACCAGAACCTGGAGAGGCCTCTGTGTGCCCCCCACCCAGGATGCACATGGGACCACCTTACCACCCAACACCGGGCCCCAGACCCAGAAGCACAATGACCACTTTCCCACGTCTTAGGGGGATAACACAGCCAGGAGAGATTCTGAAACAACCCTTGCTGCCCCTGAACAGCCTCACAGTTAAGCCCCAGGCCCTGACTTGGATGTTCAGGGCCGATCCTGCCCGCTCCTGGACTGTGCGTCTCTGACACGGGAACTGGGGAAGGGGCTCTAACCTGCAGGAGGCGTAACTGTGACACAGACGACGGCGGCCTGCACAATGGACGTGGTTAAAGACAGGAGCTCGGAGCTTCCCTCTCCCGGCAGCTGTTCCAGCTCCCGCCACCGGAATCAAGGCTGCGAGCGGCTGACTCTGCCGGGCAGGGATCTGCGGCCCCTCATCCCTTCCATCAGATGCTCCTGGGCCAGGCAGCCGTCGGGCAGGGGGGAAGAGGTGGAGGGATGACACCCCAGGCCACACGGTGTTTTACGTGTCGGTGCCGGCATCCCCTCTGTGGGGAGAGAGGAAAGGACCCTGGAAACCGGGGGCGGGGGCTGGGGGGTGGACATTAATTCTGAAAGCAGCTGGCAGTTGTCATCAGAGCTCCCGTCATGGGCTCCAGAACAGCACTGGAAAGAACAGCACAGCTCTTTTCCTGAACGTCAGTAAGTTCAGGACAATAAATTCAAGCTGCAGGTTTTACCTCTGGGCCCTGTTTGCTCTTCTCTCCCGGGATCGGAGGGTTTGAAAGAG